AGTGGGGGAGGAGGAGAGTGCGGGAGGAGGAGAGTGGGGGAGGGGGAGAGTGGGGGAGGGGGGAGGGGGAGCTCCCTGCAGGCCGAGCACGGCCAGAAACCTCCCGTCGCGAGTTCTGCTCACGACGCCGGCACCAGAGGCCTCCCAAATGGAGCCGAGCGCTCGGGCTGAGCCCTCCTCCTCCTCCTCCTCCTCCTCCCCTCCTCTCCCTCCCTCCTCCTCCTCCAACAACCTCCACCCCACCTCCACCTCCACCTCCTCCCCCCCCCTCCTCTCCTCCTCCTCCCTCCTCCTCATCTCCTCTCCTCCTCCTCTCTGCCTCTCCTCTCCTCCTCCGCCTCTTACTCCTCCTCCTCATCCTCCTCCTCCTCCTCCTCCTCCTCCTCCTCCTTCTGCTCCTCTTCTTCCTCCTCTCCTCCCTCTCCTCCTCCTCCTCCTCCTCCTCCTCCTGCTCCCCAGACACCGTCGAGCCATAAAAAGATCACGACGGGATCTGTGCTCGCTAGGTTCGGCCTCTGGGAGCCATTACGGTGGGGGCATTGGATAAGGAAGCCTTAGCTGAGGAATCTGGGGTCTGGAGGCCGCTGGAACTCCACTTCAGGCTTGGCAATGGACATCGCCGCCGCACTCATCAAATAAGGAATCCTTCAGGGTCTGGCGCCTCCTGGGAGTATTCCTTCATCAACGCCCCCACCGTACCAGGCCCTGGGGCCGTCAAGAAACGACTGGGCACGAAAAAACAGCCCCGTGGAACAGTTCCAAACGTCCGCAGGTGTCGACGTTACGACAGCATCATAACGTCGGGGGTCGGAGGATCGCGCCGCATCGCCGATACAGCGGCGATGCACCGTCGACATCGGCGATGCGTCGGCGACGCCAACGTGAAGCAACACGGGACCTACGTCGAGCCGCATCGGCGATGCGGAGCGATCCTTCGACCCCATCTGCTCGGACCCCCAATGTGGGAGGCCTAGATACATGCCTGTGGGGGAACCAGGAGATACCGATGCCGCTGCTCCCCGGACCTCCTCCAGAGTGCGCTCGGACCAAAACTCCGGGGCGAACCCAGCGGCGGCGACGAGGCCCCCCCAGGAGGCCCCCAGAGGCCAGCGTGGGGCAGTGGTGGCCGTCGGGGTGCCCGCTCCTCCTCCGGGTCTGGGCGCGTTGCCTCCCGTGAAGGGCCGGGGTCGCTGCGCGGAGAGCTCTCCGACACGTCCGAGCCGCTGGGGGACCTTGGCGGCGCACACAAAGGGGGGGGTCGGGGGGAGGGGGAAGGGCTCCTGAGAAGGAGGCTGCTCCTCAGGAGGCGCGGGCCCTGCACCTGCCGACAGGGCCCGCGCCCTCCAGGAGGCCTTCCCGAGGTCCGCGGGGCGCGAGTGCCTTCGCGCTCTCGCGCCGCCCTCCCCCCAAAACAGGGTGAGGGACTCGCGCCTCGCACCGAAATCGACGAGACCGCGAAGCGCGACCAACTTCGCACCCTCGTGGTGGCCCTGGTAAGGAGCCGTCCCTCCTCCCCTTGCCCCCCTCTGCGCGTGGCCGAGGACCAGTAGAACTCGTCCGTGGTGGACATGACAGCGCTGTCCTCCAGCGAGGGGTGCTTGCTGCGCCTGGGTGGCAGCGAGCACGCCTTCCGGGTCGGACGGGAAGAAGCATCGCTCATCCGACCCCTACCTCCTGGCGCCTCCTGGCGCTGGGAGGCGCTCATGCATCGAGGAGTGGGCCTGGCGGCGGGGCGGAAACCGGCTGCATGCAGCAGATTTCGTAGACCCCCCCTTTCCCAATCCTCCCCTTTCGTCTGGCCCGACTATCCCCAAGGGATGGCCAAGGCAACGAGGCGACTCCAGGGAGGTATCCGCAAGATGGAATAATGCCTAGATTGAAGCCGATTGCTGGGCCATTCAGCCAGATCGAGCCCAGATTGAGGCAAAGCTTAAGCCAAATCAGAACTGATTGTGGCGAGGTCTAGTCTGAGTCTGGGTGGTTCCGCGGCGCCTACAGGCCGTCCGCGGAGTTTCCTCCCACGGATTCGTGCTCGGTGGCCCTGGGGCCTCGCAGCGGGCGGGCACGAGGCGCTCGTCAGAGGCCCGGGGCACCCCTCCCAGCGAGGGCGCCCCCCCTCGCCCGACCCGAGCCTTGACGCCCTTGCCAGTCGTCGCCGGGCACCCACTCTTGGCCGTCGACAGGTGGGGCCCAGGAATCCCGGCCATGCTCAGGGGAGCGGGGCGGAGGAGGCGGTACATGGTGCCGATGCGAGGTCTGCTGGACTTCGGCTTCAGCCCTCAGAAACGGCTACAGGGGGGGATGATGGGAAGTGGAGAGAGAGAGAGAGAGAGAAAGAGAGAGAGAGAGAGAGCGAGAGCGAGAGAGCGAGAGAGAAAGGAGAACTAGCAACAAAAGCGACATGCACGGAGGAGGGAGGGAGTATATGACTGTGCGGATGCAGAAGCGCCGAAATCCCCCCATTCCGTCTTCTCCTCCTCCTGCTTTATTTTTCGGCAGGCCACTGGGCGCACGCACCCGAAGCGTAAGCTCCTCCTACTCCTCCTCCCCTCCCCCCCAAGATGTCCCCAGAGGTCGCGGATGTCTCCAGAGGTCTCCAGTCGCCTCCAGGCAGAGGCCCCTTGAAGCCTCCAGATTCCTCCGGAGGACTCTTGAGGCCTAGATGACTGCCAGCGTGGACCCCAAACAGTAGATTCTTGAACCCTCGATGTCCATTCTTCGTGGTGCAACGTGTGAGGAGCAACCAATGTGCCGATGCCATCTGCGCATGGTGCAGACTACGTGGTGGGGTCCACGTGGTGCAACCTCAGCGGCGTACAGCCCCTTGTGAAAAAGATCTTTCCCCGCATCCTGACTGGTGTTTTTGTTTTCCAAGAACACCCTCTCCTTCTCCTTTTCCTTCTCCTTCTCCCGCTTCCTGTTCCACATGCCATCGCAAAACCATACATACCATACCATACCATACCATACCATACCATACCTTACCATACCATAACATACCATACACTAACATACCATATCATACCATATCATACCATACATTACCATCACATATCCTGCAACACCAGATCATATGATTTCGTACCCCTCCCACCCCTCCAGGGAGGCCCCGCCTGAGCGAGGACAATATTCGGATACCATGTGATTTATCAGGTTTCTTGCACCCGTCCAGGGAGACTCCGCCTGAGCGAGGACAGTATTCGCAGACCATGTGATTTATCAGGTTTCGTGCCCCTCCCACCCGTCCACAGGGAGGCCCCGCCCGAGCGAGGACAGTATTCGGATACCATGTGATTTATCAGGTTTCGTGCCACTCCCACCCGTCCAGGGAGGTCCCGCCTGAGCGAGGACAGTATTCGGATACCATGTGATTTATCAGGTTTCGTGCCCCTCCCACCCATCCAGGGAGGCCCCGCCTGAGCGAGGACAGTATTCGGATACCATGTGATTTATCAGGTTTCGTGCCCCTCCCACCCAGCCAGGGAGGCCCCGCCAGAGCGAGGACAGTATTCGGATACCATGTGATTCATCAGGTTTCGTGCCCCTCCCACCCAGCCAGGGAGGCCCCGCCAGAGCGAGGACAGTATTCGGATACCATGTGATTTATCAGGATGCGTGCCCCTCCCACCCGTCCAGGGAGGCCCGCCTGAGCGAGGACAATATTCGGATACCATGTGATGTATCAGGTTTAGTGCCCCTCCCACCCGTCCACGGAAGCCCCGCCTGAGCGAGGACAGTATTCGGACATCGTGTGATTTATTAACTTTCGTGCCCCTCCCACCCGTCCAGGGAGGCCCCGCCTGAGCGAGGACAATATTCGGATACCATGTTATCAGGTTTCGTGCCCCCCACCCGTCCAGGGTCCTGGGGCCTCCTGAAACCTACTGGGGCTTCCTGGGGCCTCCAGGAGCCTCTTGGGGCCTCCTGGGACCTCCCAGGGAGGCTTCGTGCCCCAGAAGAGGCCCAATCTATAGCAACCGACGTACATAAAACATTACGGATTGGAGCCACAGGAGATTGGCAATATATAGGAACACACGTTAAGCACCAAGGACTCGTGCCCCAGGAGAAGCCCAACATATAGGAACATAAGGAATACATAGGATTGTGTTCACAGGAGAAGGACAATCTATAGAAACATACGTATAACGTCAAGGATTCGTGCTCCAGGTGAGGCCCAATCTATAGGAGCATACGTAAAACACATGGGATTGGAGCCACTCCTGTTGCCTTATGAGGCCTCCTGCTCCTGGGGCCTCTCGGGGCCTCCTGTTGCCTTCCGAAGTCTCCTGGCGCTTCCTGTGGCCTCCTGGGGCCTCCTGTGGCTTCCTGGAGCCTCCTGGAGCTTCCTGGAGCCTCCTGGAGCCTCTTGGGACATCTTGTGGCCTCTTGAATCTTTCTGAGGCCTCCTGATGCCTCCTGGGGCCTCATGTGGTCCCCAGGGGCCTCCTGGAGCCTGTTGGAGCATCCTGTGGCATCCTGAGGAGAACCTGTGCACACGAGTCTGGCCACCAAAATTAGCAAACCGAGCGAAACACCCTCAAAATCTAGCCCACCTGGGGGGTGAAAATGAGCGCCTCGCTTGAGACATCATCCAAATCTGCTCCGACAGCGAAGGATGCTGGGACAGAAAACAAGCAAACCGCTTGAGACATCCCCACAAAACGGCCGCCAACGGGACCGTGTCATACCCCTCGGCGGCCTCCCTTAGGGGCGTGAAAATGAGCGCCTCGCTCGAGACATCCTCCAAATCTGCTCCGAAAGCGAAGGATGTTGGGACAGAAAACAAGCAAACCGCTCGAAGCATCCCCACAAAACGGCCGCGAACGGGGCGTGCGTGAGTCTCAGCATGAGGAAGTCTGAATAGGAGTCGGTCTGAGTATGAGTAGGTCTGAGTATGAATAATTTTGTTTGTGAGTAAGTCTGGGTATGAGTAAGTCTGAGTGTGAGTCAGTCTGTGTATGAGTAAGTCTGGGTACGAGGAGGAGAGGGGAGGAGAAGGAGGAGGAGGAGGAGAAGTCGGCGGCGTCCAAGAAGTAACAAGTACCCAAGAACCCCATCTTAGGATATGGGGAACAAGAACCCCATCTTAGGATATGGGGAACAACGACATCAACATAAAAACTCGGAGGGCCGCGCGGATCTCTCGGATCGGCGCTGGGCCCCCTGGCGGCGCCTCGGGCGCCGCCCCTGGCGCGCTTCGCGCGCCAGGGAGGGGGCCCCAGCGCCGATGCGAGGAATCCGCGCGGACCTCCGAGTCTCTATGCTGACGTCGTTGCCCGGTCCCCTACTCCCAGGCCGCCTCGCACGCCGCGCCCCGCGATGTGCGACGCGTGGTTGGCCTCGCGCCCCCGCGCCATCGCGCCGCAGGCCGCACGGCAGCATCGGCTCCACGGCTAAAACAGGGCTAGGATCGGGATAAATCGCTCCAGAGCGTTCCGGAGCGCTCTCAGAGCGTTCCGGAACGCTCTGGAGCGGCCGCGGCGCCCAGTACATCCTCCAAACCCGCCGATTCTCAGAGATTTCGAATTATCCCGATCCGATTTTGTCCCGATCTTCGCGTCGTTTGACCACGGCCCCCCCCCGCGCGCGCGGCCCCGGCACGGGGCGAGAGGGGGCGCCCTCTGCCGGCTCGCCCGCGGCGGGCAGCTCTGCGGCCGCCTCCTTGGCCGCGGGAGCGTCCTGGAACGCGGGGGGGGCGCGGGGGGCTGGGCGGAGGGGTAGGCAGGGTAAGGTTAGGTCGGGCATGTCCCCCTACAGGCAGATGTAGGAGGCTTTTTTAAGTCAAAAAGATGATGATTCATACTCTACGAACAGGATTACAAAAAAAGTCAGCAAAAAATGCTAGAAAACTCGTCCCCTGACTATTTTGGGGGGAATTCCTGCATATCCCTACGTGCCCGACGTCTCAGGGTAAGGCAGGTGCCCGCGGAGGCGGCTCCCGGTGCATACATCGAGCACGGGACGGCCACTTCGGGGGATGCGCTTCTCTTGGTGGCCCTGCGCCCAGCGGCCCCAGGCCCTGCCGCGCTGCTGCGAGTCCCCCGTCACTCGTGGCTGTGCCGAGGGTTCCCGGGGGGAGGGAGGGGAGGAGGAGGGCAACCAGCCTCGAGCTGACCCCGATCCCAGAGGTTGGGGCGCCCGCGCCGATGGCGGCATCCGGGATCTGCCCTCGGGGGCTGGAGGAGACGTAAGCTTCACTTCAGGCCAGCGGCGACGGGGAAGAGGAGGACGGAGAGGTTGACGCAACGGCCATCCAGCCAACGTCGGTCTTACGCAAACAAGATGGGAAAAGGGGGAAGGGAAGGGCATAGGGAGAACGGGGAGGGAGGAGAAGGAGGAAGACGAGGAGGAGGACCAGTGTAAACCCAAGACCCATCAATGAGATTGCAATCAACCCTCCCTCCAAGTTCCCCCTTTCATCGGCTCGTATATGAATTTATTTGGAATCAAAAAAATGCCCCGTTGGAAGACAAGCGTTTGAAAATCTGGAAGTGCACCAGAACACCATTCTTGGGTCTTCAACACCACGAATCGTAGTTAATGTAGCGTCTTGACGACTTGACGATCCTGAATCGTGCCAGAACACCAGTTCTAGGACTTCAACACCGCGACTCAAATGTGACCGTTGCGACCTGACATTCGCACATCGTTCCTAACACCATTATAAGACTGCTTACCAAAAAAATACCCACATAACCGATCAAACTTTTTGCAAATGTTTCAAACGAATGTGCGCGACACTGAGGCGAGAAGCACATTTCGAAAAGGAGCCGTCCTCCCTCCGTGAAGCTCTGGCCAACTGTTAAAGCGAAGGCGCGCTGCGTTAAGGCGAGATCCAGATCTTGAAAACGGACCGCCCTCCGTTCGTGAAGCTCTTGCAACTGTTCACCCGAGTGTGCGCGACGCTGAGGCGAGAAACGCATGTTGAAGGCGGGCCACCCTCCGTCCATGGAGCTGTTGCAAATCGCAAGCTTCAGGATCCTAAGTTGCAAGGAAGTCTCAGGCGAAACGCCCGACCCGCCCTTTCGACTGGCCTCGGGGTGCGACAGCAAGGAGTTGCCTACAAGGAGAAGGAATGGAGGAGGAGGAGCGAACGTCGCCTTAGGAATGGAGGAGGAGGAGGAGGAGGAGGAGGAGGAGGAGGAGGAGGAGGAGGAGGAGGAGCAAGCAAGACCTGGGCAGCCGTAGTCCTCTGCTGTCTGGCTCACCTCAGTTGGGTGAGAGTTCTAACCACGAACAACTGCTGCTGGTACAGGAGGAGGAGGAGGAGAAGCAGGAGGAGGAGGAG